AGAGTTTTCCATGCTATTGCTCCTCCTGCCTTTGTCCTATCTCAATAAAAGGGGCTCTCAGACCCCAATCTGGGTCGCTCGTTACATAGCTAAGTGAATGGTAGGTTGGGTTCACCCATTAGATGAGCCTTAATGGAACCCTTTTGTTTAAGTATTTTATATTTTTTATAGCTTAACAGGTGATAGTGGATGGACTAATATCATGGAAAACTCTTTGTTGACAGGTTGTGGTTAAAGCAAACCATGGCTTCTAGCCAGAGGTGGTATTCAGCAGGATCTGACCAGTTCTGGAGAACTGATAGCGGAAATTTTGAGTTGTTCGGAGAACCGGTAAATACCACCTCTGACTGACCCCGCCCCATCTATTCTCTGCCTCCTGAGTTCCAGCTGATCGGGAGGGAATAGAGATTTTGGTATCCTTCCCCTGGAGTGGGGAGTAAATAGAGATTTTGCAGTATCCTTCCCCTGGAGTGGGGAGGGAATGGAAATTTTACAGTATCCTTCCCCTGCCATGCCCACCAAGCCATGCCACTGCCACCAAGCCATGCCCACAGAACAAATAATGAAAAAAAATGAATCCCACCACTGCTTCTAGCAATATCTACCTGGAAGTATAGAGTTTGCTTGCATGGTACAATAAACCAAATTTTCTCAACCTTAGCAACTTTAAGATGTGGGAACTTCAACTTCCAGAATATATGCTGGCTGGCTGGGGAATTCTGGGAGTTGAAGTCCATACAACCTAAAGCTGTTGAGGTTGGGAAACACTATAGCTGCTCTGGAGTGTTACCCCCATCTTTCCTGCAGCTTTTCAATCATGATTTGAGGCTTATTCTGTCATCTAAACCTCAAGCAACCATCACCTCTGATTAGTTCAAAGCAGAGTTAGAAACCCAGAAACCTCCTTTTTCCTCTAAAGGAAGTGAATAAAGAAGAAGGAAATGATCAGGTGGAATACTTTGATGGCCATCTCACCCATAACCATGTACCTGCCTCCTGAAGCATTTCCTTCTCCTCCATTCAAGAAAGTAGCTGACAGATGCCCTAATTAAATAATGACCCTCAAGCCAAGCTTCAAAAGAAATCCAGGAGCAAAATGTCCACACATACCCAAGTGAAGCCAGCTCTGACCTCATGTAATTTACAGCCCAATTATAACCTTGTTTTCCCCCCTCCCTGCAGGGTGTGTCATAAATCACATTCTCTAACAGAGCACTTTTGTGGGCTGTAGAGATCATTCCCCCCTCAGGGTGCTGAGGGTAACCTGGGATATAGCCTTGAGAGAGATAAGCCTGGNGAGGGCAGGACAAGAAGCAACGGTTGGATGCTAATCAAGGAGAGAAGCATCTTAGAACTAAGGAGAAATTTCCTGACATTAAACTATAACATAAAAGAAAATGTCCATAAGACAATGCATCATTGGTATTTAACTCTAGATAAGTTGTCAAGAATGTAAAAAGGTATTTCAAATGTGTGTTGGAAATGTAAAGACGGGACTTTTTATCATTTATGGTGGACGTGTGATAAAGTAAAGAAATATGGGAGTATGATTCATATTTTAATGCAGAAAATTAAAGAGAATATAGAAAGAAAACCAGAGGCAAATGGCTGTCAAGTTTCTTCATAAAAACCTCCAGTGATGGATCATCCATTACTTCTGGAGGCAAGCCGTTCCACTGATTAATTGTTCTTACTGACAGGAAATTTCTCCTTAATTCTAGGTTGGTTTCTCTTTGCGATAAGCTTCCATCCATTACTTCTTGTCCTGCCCTCAGGTGCTTTATTTTATTTATTTTTCACACTTCTGAACCATTCATCTCCCTCAAAGAGGTGTGGAAAAATCACCTGTATCTACATTTTGCATACCATGCACTGTTTTTAGACATCTCCATTACTATGTGTCACCAATAAAAAATAAAGAGGCCTTTTAATGATTGTGAAATTTTGAGGGCCAGGTGAGTTAAACACTATCATTTCAATGAATTGAATTTCAGAATCTCACATCATGAAGTCCTCGACTTATGACCAGTTCCAAAATCCCAATGATCATCCCTCTACCCTGCAATCACCTTATCGCAACACTCAGTAACAAGCAGCTGTTTGCAGCATCCTGGGATTATGTAACTGTGTGTTTTTACGATGGTTTTGCTAAAAACCAGCCTTTATTTCTGGTTTTCAGCAAAACCAACCCACAGTGAGCCATTGGGTTACTGCAATAAAATAAAACTGCAATGTTTGCATAACAACCACTGGGAGGGGAATCATAAAATTGGGTTGGTCACAGGAGTGATCCACTTTAGACAACATATGACCTTTTCTTTTTAAGAAAAGTTTTTTTAAAAAAATTTATACATAAATCATACATCCTTAATCAAACTGTGTCATCTGAGTAGAGTTTTGTGTCATCATATATAATATTTACTATCATTTTTACTATACTTTTACCTCACCGCTTATCTTTACACTTCATTTACATTTCAATTCATCTTCTCCCCTGTAACTCTACTCCCCTTCCCAGTTTGTTTAATTTTATTTCTCTTTTTATCCATATTTATTTTCTCTCCAATGATAAAATCTCCCCCATATATTGTAATACTCCGATTATTCCTTCCCCCTAATTGCCAGTGTTAATCTATTCATTTCTGCACAGTCTTAATATTTTTTTGATTACCTCTCCCTCTGAAGGGATTTTTTTTCCATCTTCCAATTCTAACTGCAGTTATTACATGAATGATCAAATATACATTCTTGCTACTATATTTCTCTGGTAAAATATCCAACAAGAACATCTCCGTTGTTAAATCAATATGTTGTTGTATCATCTTCTCCAACCTCATGTGAATTTTTATGACTCATGGCCTTGATGGGCAGGCTCAATTACAGTCACAGGTCAAGGACTACCTGTATTAAGAGCACATTAGAAATCCCAAATAACCTTATTATTCTTATAGATTTCATGTTCTTACCTTCTGAATCCCGCTACATCTTCCCCGTGCATCTGTGATAGACACAGTCTTTTCACAATGACTCTCAGATTTTTCACCCCTATAAAGGCATGTTGACGGCTGCATTTGAGTAAAAATGTGCTAGTCTATAAGTTGGTGATTTGGACTTTAAAAATAGACAAAGCATACTTTTAAAAAAAATTAAATTGAGCAATCAAATAATATTGTTAATTCTGCCATGGTGAAGGGATAGTAACTGATGAAGAATATCTGATAGCACTCTCACCTTTAAAGTTTTTAGCATTCTAAGTGAGCCTTTAGAAGCCAAAATTGATTGCTTCTCTGCTGACTTAAAATGGATCAGTCTAAAGAATCAAATAATGGCAATATTATTACTTTGGTCATATTAAGGTAAAGGTTTCCACGCATATGCATGCTAGTTGTCTCCAGCTCTAGGGGACGGTGCTCATCTCCATTTCAAAGCCGAAGAACCAGCGCTGTACGAAGATGTCTCTGTGGTCATGTGGTCGGCATGACTAAACACCGAAGGTGCACAGAACGCTGTTCCCTTTCCACCAAAGTGGTCCCTATTTTTCTACTTGCATTTTTTACATGCTTTCGAACTGGTAGGTTGGCAAAAGCTGGGACAAGTAATGGGAACTCACTCCATTATGCAGTGCTAGGGATTCGAACTGCTGACCTTCTGAT